TTAACTAGAGTAACTATTTTAACCATTAGTTAGTTATATTTATATTTTAATAACTCTTATGTTTTATCCATACTAAACATTTTAATTACTTACTTATATTTAATTACTATTAAGGATCATGAATTTTTATTGAATTAAAAGTAACATGGAGCGGTGAAGAGATTATAAGTGGTTAAGGTAAAATGGAAATTGAGATATATGTGTAAACATCAAAACCTCTCTTCTTTATAATAGTAATAGAATAAGAGCAACGTTATTGGGACCTAATTTGCTGACCTAATTTACTATGATTTTTGAATTGACTGTGGAACCCATCAAAAATTGAAACTTATGTTTTATTTGGTAAGATGAAAAAGTGGAAGGATGAAAAGTTGAAAGGATAGAAAATTGAAAAGATAAATAAAACATCCCGTTTAGTAAGGAAAGAAAGTTGGAAGAATGGAAAAATAGGTGGATTAACTTTCCTTCCAACTCACCAAAATCAATCCCTCTAAAATCGAAAGGAAAGTGGATGAAAAATTAATTGTTTATGTTGAGATATATCATATTTGTCTATATATTTTTTTATATATACATTAATTCCATATAAAAATACAATGGTAAAATATGTACATATATAAAACATTTTAAAAATAAATTTAAAAATAAAAAAAATTAAAAAAATATATATTTTTTCCGTCTTAACTAAGGGTAAAATTTTTTGCCTCAGCACGGTACGAAAATAAATAGGTTAACTCACAATTTGACACGACACAATTAATTAAATGAGTTAAGTTATATTTGACTAATATTTAACACAAACTCGTAATGACTTCACACGAATCTGACACGACACGACTCGATTGTCACTCATAATCTTAGCCAGTACAAAAAAAAAATAGTTATTTTTATTTTTCATCTATCCAACCAAACACAAAGGAATGAAAGTGTTTCATTACTATTTTACATCATTGAAGGATATAAAATGTCCCTTCTACTTAATATCCTCCCTACCAAACAGAGCATTGGTGTTGATTCAATGATTTTGCTAAAGTCACATCATTATATCAACAAATTATGTCAAATTTTAAGTCCAAATAGTAGAATACATAGAATAAATTATGTAAATTTGCATAGTAATAATATTTCAAATGACCCCCAAGCTGGATCCGGCTCGTCTTCTGTTCAAGAGGAACAGCAAACCCTGCTGTTCACCACAAAACGACACAGTTTTGTGCCCTTTTTAAAAAACCATTCAAACCCACATCAAGCGGTGCCGTTTGATTTTTCTTTTTCAGTCCAAATTCAATCCCTAAAATTGCAGACCCAAAATGGCAAAAGAAGTCGAAGACCCAAAAATTCAAGCCCTATGCCGAATAGAGGAAGAATTTGATGATTCAGAGGCTATCGTCAGTGCGTTGAATCAAATGAGGGATTATCACCACCAACAACCCATTGCTGCTCAAAAACCCCACCATATTTTGTTGTTGAAGTGGAGCCTATACCCCACCATCTT